AGCCCCGCACAGCGGCGCTGGAGGCAGAGAAGGCGAAGGCGCTGCCGGACATGGGTGCGTGTCCCCGCCGCGTGTCCCTCCCCTCCCTTTTCACCGTGACACCCACGGACGCGTCCCCAATCCCAACGTGTCCCCAATCCCAACGCGTCCCCAATCCCCCCTGCCCGTCCCCCGCTTCACCGGGAACCTCTCCACAGACTCCCGGCACTTTCTGCTCTACAACGAAGACCACCGCAAGTGCGTGGAGGCCAACGGGCAACAGCTGACGGCAACAACGTGCCGGCCCGAGGCGGCGGCACAACGCTTCCAGTGGTTACCCGGGGGTAGGCTACGGGGTTGGGGGAGCCAGCGTTGCGTTACGGCACCCCGGGCGCAAAACTTGGCCCTCCTGAGGCTGGAGCCGTGCCGGGAGGGCAATGAGCTGCAGCGTTGGGAGTGCCGCGACGGTGGGCTGTTGGCGCTGGCCGGCTACAATCTCTACTTCAATTACGGCAACAACGTGCAGCAAACGGTGATGCTCTACACCGGGGATCGCAAGTGGAGCCGCTGGGTCATCCACGGGAGCAAGGACGACGTCTGTTCCCGCGCCTGTTAGTCCCGGCACCTTCATCTCAAATATTTAAGCCCTTGCCTAACCCTATTCTGGCTGAAGTTCAGCCCTAACCTGGCAGGGATACAGTTTAAGCTAAGCTCAAATTGTGACAGGGCCCTAAACCTGATCTAACCCTACGTTTAGGGTGACCTAACCTAAGCCTAACCAAGCCCAAACCTTACTGGGGTCCTAACCCTGACGCAGACTTAACCCTAAATATATGTAACTTAACCTAAGCCTAAGTGACCGCAACGGGGTCTTAACCCAGCTCAAACCCTAAATGTTGGTGATTTAACCTAAACCTAACCAACCCCAACCCCAAGAATCCTAACCTAGCCCTAACCCCAAATATAAAGGATTTAAATTAATCCTAAAATATCCCTAATCCCACGGGGCCCTAGTCCTAACCCAGCCATAGCCCTAAATATCTAGGACTTAAGCTAACCCTAATTTAGCCCAAACTTCAGCATGGTCCTAACCCCAACCCAGTCGTAACCCTAAACATACAGGACTCAAGTTAAACCCAACCCCCAATGGGACCCCCAACCCAGTCCTAACCTTAAATATAGAGGATTTAACTTAATCCTGACCCAGGCTAAACCCCAGTGGGACCCCCAACCCAGTCCTAACCCTAAATGTAGAGGCTTTAACCTAATCTCGACCCAGGCTAAACCCCAGTGGGACCCCCAACCCAGTCCTAACCCTAAATATAGAGGATTTAAGCCTATCCCAGGGGGAACGCTAAGCCAGCGGGGATGCTCGGCAGCTCTCCCAGCCAGAGTCGTGGGTCCAGCCAGGGTTGTCCCTGGTTTACGGGGTCTCGCAGCCCCAGCTGGAAGGTGACCCCCTGCCCTTTTCTGTGTCGTCCCCCCCCTTCCCAGGCTGTCCCCCTTGCTCCAAAGGCTGGACCTATTTCAGGAATTCCTGCTATTTCTACTCCAAGACAGAGAGCTCCTGGGAGAACGCCCAGCGCTTCTGCTCAGCCCTGGGCACGCAGCTCCTGGAGGTGGACAGCCCCGAGGAGAAGGTGAGGGCAAGGGGGTGGATCCAGGCATCCA